GGGAGCCTAAAAAGAGATGCGTCCCCCCCGCCACCCCCCACCCCCCGGAACACAGACATGAGAACTGGGTGTTATGGGCAGCATGAAGAGGCCATGGTCATTTCTGCCTGCAGCCAGTTAAGGAAACGCTGCTCTGCCCTGGCCCCTGGGGTGCCTGTCTCCACTCCCACAACTGGAGCAGCCTGACTAGCAAAAGAAAATGACATCCTCCTCAGTTCTGAAGAGAGAAGGGAAAGATCTGAAACTACTGGAGGTGGAGAGTGGACTTGGACGGGGACAGGAAGAAGGAAGGGTGGTGAGTGACACACAGGACTCCTCATGGAGGCAAGCAGACCACAGCTCTTGGCTCTGTCTGCTCCTGGAGAGACAGGGCTGTTGAGGCAGAGGTGGTCAGGACCCTGCACAGGGGACGAGGTGATGGCTCTGACAGAGTTTCAGCTCCTGTGAAGGCAGCCCAGGCTGGGGGAAGAAAGAGGTAAACGACACTCTGAAACTGGGGTAAAGGTGCAGTGAGGTGCCCTGCTGGAGGCCGAGGGAATTGGGAGCACTGCCTGAGGCGGCGACATGCAACGGTAGGCGGCAAGTGTTGGGGGCTGGCCGGCAGAGCTTTGCCTGGTTGTCATGGAATCCCCAGCTCTCCATGCTGCAGAGGGGGGGGTCCCACTGCCCTTTGCCAGGCTTCAGATTAATTATGAAAGCACCTGATGTGCATAAAGTGCTTTGCAGTTGTTTACCCAGCAGGTGCCCGAGCCATCTTTCATTGGCCCCCTATGTTGACTGTGAGCCAGGCAAGTCAGGTGTGCCTACGTGCACTATCTACATTTTCCAGACAGAGGTACTGAGTTTGCACTTGTGAAGGGACTTGAACAATGTCACACAGCTATGATGCCAGAGCAAGCACTTGACCTAAGTCTCTGATGGAGAACTAGGTAAATGAATTATAAGGTGAACTCTTGAGGAATATGCAACTGTTGCTGAGTAGTGGAATCAATGCGGGTCTCTCTCTACTGGGTCCTGCTGCCCCTCCCAAGTCTATACATCAGCCGAGTACTAATTCAGGCTTGTCCTAGTACTAGCTCACTCCCCGGGGCTCCCTGTCTCCTCCATGCCTTTGACACATTGTTCTGTCGGAAGAAGGCTTCCTTCCTTGCCTTTGCCCAGCTCAATTGTTCCATCTTCTGGGAAAATTCTGATTGAAGTCCTCCTCCCAGGGCTGCTATTCAGGCCTCCGTGGCCGCACTGACCTCCAGGAACTCTAAATGCGACTCGACATCGTTCCTGTGGGCTGCTAGGGTCAGGAACTACGGCAGTGGACTTTGCCCAGTAAGTAGCGAACAGTCAAAAATGCTTCAGATTTTACTGAACTTTTTGGATTACAGATTCCTTTGAGAATCTGATGAAAGCTCTGAGTCCTCCGGTCCAAGTGAGGAGGGAGGTGAGACAAGTGATGAGACAGGGCTACATACAGGGCAGCTCTCTATCCAGACCGATGCTTTGGGAAGGGATTTCACATCTTGGGGAAGGAAGTTTTCTGATAGACCCTCATTCCAACGCCTCCGCCTGGAGAGGACAGTAGAGGCCGCTGGGGCTCCTGGCCTCATTTCTCTGCTTGAAGGTTCTTCTGAAACTCCGCTGGGAAATTTTGGGGATGCACCCATAGCCAGGCCCCCCTTTCTGCTGTGGGTACACATGCTATTCCTCCCACCTGGTAAGAAGCAAGCGAAGAGTCATGGAGAAGTTCTTTTGGGGTCACTGTTCTCAAGTCTCTTCTCAGATTCATTGCTACTCAACTATTTTTTTTCCCCAGTACAGTAAATTTCCTTCTATTATTCTCCAAGTTGATATAGTAAGCTGTGTCATTTTGAGAAGAAATACATAATGGTATGTTAGAGGAATCATGGATCTCTTTCATGCTTAGAAAAAATTTATTACAATGTAAGGAAGTCTGAATAGCATGAATTTATTATAATGATTTAGCACTTCTGCACTTGAGTTAAGAATGCCCCTCCATAAATAACTGTCCCTGGAAAACAGAGCAAATTTACACAGTTTACCATTTCCCAATGTTATATAAATCCAACAAGCTTAAATCACCTCCAGCTAGGGGCAGAACACCGAAACCCGGGACTGTGAAGTTCATCCTACCTCAACTGGCAGTGACAAGTAGGAGAGCCAGCCTCCCCTTCTGCCAGCTCCCTCACCTCAGCACTAGACCAGCCCGCCTCAGAACTCAAAGGGGCTGAAATATGGGGAAGAAAAGGATGAGCGAGGGAAAATCAGTTTATACCTACAGAACAGGTGAAGCACAGCTGGCCTTGGGCATCCTGGCTGAAGTCGGGCCATAGTCTGTGTGGTGGTGCCAACAAGGTATCAGCCGAGGCCGCCCAGCTGTGGACTGTGGAGCGCGGAGAGGCCAGTGCTGATGCCCTGTCCAGATCTCAAACAGGGCTTGGCTTAGCCAACCACCTCTGGGACTTTCTCACAAACTCCAATACTGCTCTCTCCTCCTGGACCTTCTGGTTCCTCCACGTTCCAAGAAGCCTTGGCTCTGGCTCCCCTGGATACCCCGCCTAGCCCTACCTTCAAGGATATTTTAGCCTTGTCATTCTTGCTTTCCTTTGGGCTAGTTTGCAGCATTCTAGGCACCAAACTTTTAAAGTAGGAATTATCACCTCCATTTCTACAAAAATTTTATAAATTATTATATCTGAGGCTTCGAGAGTATAAGTAACTTGCCTAAATGTAGAGAGCTCACAAGTGGTAAGGCCGGGTTGATTCCAAGGTCAGTATATGTTAAATCTGGACGCATAACATTCTAATAGGGAAGACAATCAGCACACACACACACACACACACACACGCACACACACACACAGAGCACAGTTTGAGGTGGGCTATAACAGAGGCTCTACAGAGTATTGTTGAAGCCAAGAAAAGAGAGTCTGTAGTGATGTCCGGGAAGATCAGGAAAACAAGGAAGCAGATTAATCTAAAAAAGAAACATGGAAAAGTCGCACAGGCAGGAAAGAGCAGCGCGTCTTTGGAAGACGGCCAGTCACCGTGAGCTGCGAGGGGAGCGGAGCGAAGGGAGAGCTGGTAACATGTTGAATCCGAGTAGCTGCAACAATAGCGAAAGGGAGGATTTTCGAGGAGAGTGAGAAGTGTCCATGAATCCTCATACTCTGCTGGTGGGGATGTAAAATGGTAAAGCTGCTTTGGAAAACAGTCTAGCAGTTCCTCAAAAAGTTAAACATAGAGATACCACTTGACCACCCCTAGGGAAATACTAAGAGAAGCGAAAACATTTTCATGACCACCCGGTTTTCCTCTAAGGGAAAGTCTGGTAAAGTGCTGAAGCTTATCCTCGGCTTCAAGAAGCCAATCAGACGAGACTGTCTCCGTAAAGGTACTGACCTAGGCCATTCCTATTGGACTCCCAAACCAAGCCACTGATTTTACTAATGTACCTACCACTGGCCTCCAGCCAACTGAAGGTAGGCCTCACCCTCGTTTTGGCCACTGTCTTTTTGGAAGAGGCCTTAAGCAGGGTTATGACAACCTTTATTACCTGAAGACAGTCACGTCCATTATGCTACCTGGCCTGGAGAGTGTGTCTTTTTCTTAGGAGTAGTGCTTTAGATAGTTCTTCCCATGGCCTCCATGTCCATGGACAGAAAGAAGTCCAGATGGTGGCAATCACTCCTTGAGAGTTATGGACTTACAAAGGCCCCAAGGAGTGGACATGTTGCATTTTTGCTCACCTTGGCCCAAGTGGTCTGCGAGAGCTCGATTCTGAGAGATGGTGGTGGAATGTCCAGTCCTAGTTGAGATTCTTAAAAGCGTTCATCTTGGAATACCAGTCCACGGTAGTGAAGTGCTGTAGTGGGGAGGGTACCAGCTTGGCAGCCAGACCTGTCACTGACAGGATGTGGGGGCTCAGAAAGTCACTTTTCTCTGAACTTTCTTCATCTGTAAAGTTAAAGTGATGACTTATATGGGCTCTAAGGTCCAATGCTGCCATAGAATTCTGTGACTCTGGAAGTTGATGGGATCATGGCGGGGGTGGGGTGGGGGTAGACAAGGCCTTGGGCATTTTCTGGGTGCCTACTCAATGCTGAGTGTGTGTGGGGGGGATGGAGGTGGTCAAGGGTGGGGAGAATAGCTGTGAAGCTGAAGCCTGAGAGGTTAGAAGGTCCCACTTCTAAATGGAACAATGGAACCCTAGGTGCTTGAGAACGACTCGCCTTGAACATCAACTTTGAGAAACCATGTAACTGGTAATTAATTTATGAAACTGTTCTCTGTCAGGTCATTCTTCCTCTGAGGACTAGGGTGTCACCCTTACCCCACTGATCTCCAGCTTTGTTCCTAAACTCAAGGATAACCATGTGACAATTGAGGCAAACTTTACTTATCTCACTTCCAGTTTGGGAGATGGCTGGGTGATGATTCTATTCTTGCCACCTCCGCCTCTGAGGAGCAGTTGCAGTCTCCTTGTTCAGGTGAATGTGCCAGACTGGCTTGGGGAGCAGGGGTCAGGATAGGGTCTCTGGCATCTTAGCTGAATCCACAGGTATGATCTTAGAATGTCAGGCACTCAAGCCCTCCCCTACATTCTCCAGCACCTAAAGCCAACTGGGCAGGGCCATCTTTCCTGACTCAAAGTACTGAGATATTTCATCCCTGCTGAGAAGTTTTGGGGACAGGCACATGAAAGGGACTCAGGAGTGTGCATAGATTGAATCTTTCATTCCAGCAACTGCACAACCTAGAAGAGGCTTGGTGTCCAGAGGCTGGATGGGAGCGAGCTTGAGTTAACCAGGAAAACCTATTAGGATGTGGCAAACCATTTCTTTTCTTTCAGTTGACCACATGCTTTTGTTTTACCAAGCACTAAAGAAAATAACATTTTGATAATCTGGGGCTCTGCTCTTGCTTTCAAGCTGTGCCTCACTGATCTAATGAGGATGTTCAAAGGACAATTCAATATTAAAACCACATTGGGAAAATAGTCATGGAGATAATTTATTAACTTAAAATCTCACACATATTATAAACAATTGCCCACATTGAAGATAATGTACACTGAGGTGGGGACGAAGCGTAAGCTTGGAGAAGTCTGCCATAGCCTCCATCTCCCTAAAGACTGCAGACTTCATCTGGCTCTGCTCCTTTAAGCCTGTCCCCTCCTCAGAGTCCCTGACCAGCAAATCTCTCATATGAACTATAGTGCTGGAAGCAGAGCCAAGTAAAAAAGAGTGGCTCCGAAGGAAGAGTCCCTCCCTTCTCATGATTTGGTGTATTCTAGATCTAAAGTTCCCATCATGGGGGTCCGGTTTGGAGAAACACAAGTGTACCTCCTGGAAGGGTGACTACTGGCAAAAGCTTCTCCTTGATTAGCTTTGGTTTTATAAATCAAGCACTTTGGGCCCTATTTAGGGAGCTTCAATGGATATACTTTGTCCTTTTTCATTTTGCAAACATTGATTGGTTTTTATCCCACAGAATGGTGGGTAGCAGGGTGGGCAACATTGTAGCACTACCTGCAGCACCCCCAAAGTGTCCGGCCTTGCTTTGGAGAAATGGCTGGAGGCTGGGCAAGCAAATCCCAACCAGTCACTGTTGGGAGCACTTCCCAGGGAGGAGAGACAGATTCCTTTGTGCCAGACCCTGTCTCTTGGTAGGTTAGTCTGCAACGAGGTTCAGCCTCCAGGCTCTATAACCACCCTTTCACATACACACATATGTATATGTGATGTGTGTGTATCGCAGCAGGACACAGATTAAAATGTTAACATATAATGTTCAATTCATAAAGAAGACATTAGATTAGACACAAATTCACATCCTATTGACACTCAGGAAATGCCTACAGGATAGAGAAAGACAAATGGTGAAGGAATGTGGCATATGAAAAATATGTTGATTGACGCTCTGCTGAAAATCCATCTTTGCTCTTCCAAATTGCTCATTCATGGGAGGTAAAGCAGCAATTAAATTTCATTCGGTGGCATGTGACCCTCCAAAAGCCTTTGGTTTCGATTCTGTTTATGATTTTTCTAAAGGTAAACAAACTTCTTAAAGAAATCATAATTCTTTTCTTGGTCCTCCTGGCCTCCTCTTACTCTGAAGGGCAGTAAAGGACATTGGTGTGGGCAAGTGTGGTTATGGATGATCTCAGGGTTTGGGTGCGTTTAGGTGGTCATGACACATGGAGCAAGGAAAATATAGTTCTGGGAACCTAACTTTAACTGAGAAAATGGCCATCCATTTTTGCCACAGCAAAGAAAACTTCATTTTCCAAAGCTTTCTGAAATGAGATGAAACTGATTTTGTTAATCTCATGCGGGTGAACTTTAAAAGGATATTGTAACCTACAATGATTTCTCAACTTTTCAAGTGAATGACTACAACTAGTTAGTCTTGACCTTTTCCTTACCGCAGATGAAGAAAATGGTATTGGTAGTCTCCATTCTTCTCTCCCTCAAAGAGCAAAAAGACACAAGTGAAGGAAGGTTGAGTGGAGGTGACAGGGCCTCAGCCTGAACAGACAATGAGATTTAGATCTATCCAGACAAGGAAGCTGCTCAGCAAGGCTTCTGTAGGCTGAAATAATCTAGTTTTGATAAAGAATTCAGGGAGGCCATGTAGGTTCACTAAGGCAGGCTGCCCTGAGTGGTATGACCTTGGCTACCAACACTGATTGACAAAGATTCTTGGTCCCAGTTCAAGCTTAGGGTTGGTGAAAGGGAGAGAATAAAAGCAACACCTTCTAGATCAAATAAAGTCACCAAGTAATACATATCTGAGGACTCATCTTCCCCTTGCTGCCAATGACTGGAAAGTTTTAAACTCACTCGTTCTACAAGGTTCATCATATTCCCCATCAGCCTGAGAGGCCACTTCAGCCCACTGTGAGCTGAAGGACCCATCTCAAGAGCTCTGTTGAACAGGAGAACAGAGAGAGAAAGAGGTCTCAAGTGTACTTCTTCTACAGGCTTTCTCTGGGTCAAAGTGAGGCCCCGTGGGAAATGGGGGGAGACTCTGCTTGGGGTGGTGGAGCATAATCTGGCAAGTAGATACGGTTCCTTGGGGCCATGGGACAGTATCCTTGGGAAGAGCATATGCAGGGCTTGGTCAATCCAGCGAAAGCCTATCAGTCTGCAGCAGCTGATGCTACTCTCCCTCTTTCGGCATCTTCCCAAGATATAACCATGGGAAGTTCACAGAGTGAATAGAATAGGCACTTAGGTCAACAAAAAATACTGAGATTATTCTTATTTATCCTGGGAAATTGGCAGATGGCAGGAGATGCGTTTCAGGATTCTGCCTCCACAAAGGCAGTCATTTTCTTGGGGCATTCCATGCTGGTTTCTAAGCACTGGGTGGGTCCCTCTCTCTAGCCCACTGAGCTCTTTTGGTTATGGGATGAGCAGCTGCCAGGCTTATAACTACTGAGCCTGATTCACACTTGGTCCTCTGTGTTGCTTGTGATATTAGGGGCACTAACGCCAACTGTGGAATTAAATGACAACACTTAGAGGTAGGTGGTGAGAGAACAGAGTTAAGAGGTAAAAAGGTCTATCTTTCTGAAATTGTCTATGTTATAAGGGGTTAGTTTTAAATTAGAGGGATCTTTCAGTCGATAAGTTTTTCTTGTGTACAGAAAAGCCAACATTTTCAAGAAAAATACTGAAAAGGAAACATTCTTGAAATGAGGCTGAATACGCAAATGGCCTGTGCCATGCAGAAAGTATCCTATGTTGATTTTCTCTTCTCTGCTTGGCATAGAAAAGATACTGCCCTCCACCCCCATTCTCCCTTAATGTGTTATCTACTGATTGGTCTCATCAAAAACACCCTGGGTTGTTAGAATGATTTCTATATTCAATACATAACAAGATGCTAGTGAAATAGGTCCCTGTGAAAGGAGAGACACAATTACTTGCAATCAAATAATTTAAAAATCTCAGATCATTATATAAAGAAACCCACAAATTTCTGATGAAAATTTTGTAGCAAGTGCTTTGATGTCAAATGAAAAAGATATCTTCCAGAATTTGATTCTCCTCCAGGTCTTCAGGGGTCCTGCCTGCCCCCATCTTGTTCCGGGTCAGTTTTAGAGGGCTGAGTTGGCAAGTACTGTGGTTCCAGGCCCCAGTTTCTCTGGAGGGATGGGGCTGAGGTTTGGGAGCAGACTTTGGGCTCAAAGATTGAACCAAATCCAACAGAGATGTCTCATACCTGAAACACATAACCCAGATAGAAATCAGACTAGTAGAACATTAGAATCCAAGAAGCTCATAGAGATGGGCTGCCCAGGGCAAGAATCAGATCACAGAGGGCCTTCTAGGGGACTGTAAGCTCTTCTCTTCTGCTGACTTATAACATTTTTTTTTTAATTAGAAACATTTTTTTTTTAAACTTATTGGGATATTAGTTAATAACATCATATAAATTTCAGGTATATAACTTTATTATACGACATCTGTATACTTAATTGTGTGCTCTCCACCTGAAGTCTAGTCTCCTTCTGTCACCATATCTGGCCTCTTTACCCTCTTTGTCCTACCCCTGCTCCCCTTCCATTCTGATACCCATCTTCAGTTTTGCCCCCCACTCCTCCAACTTCCACCCCTGAACCACGGATGCTGCCGTTTCCCCTTAAGAACAGGATCTCTGAAGGTGGGGCGTCGCCTCCCATGAGCTCACGGTGTGCACCCGGGGCCTGGCGCACCTAGGGGCCTGGGTCACCCGGGGCCTGGCTCACCCGGGGGCCCGGCGCACCTGGGGTATGGTCCGTGGCTCCACCTGGGGCACGAACCCAGGACCTTCTGCGTGGAAAGCAGACGTGCTAACCACTACTCCATGGAGCCACCCTGCTAAGTTTTTAATTGGATTGTTTTTGTTGTTGTTGAGTTGTATGAGTTCTTTATATATCTTGGATATTAGCCCCTTATCGGAGGTATTGTTTACAATATCTTCTCCCATTTGGTTGGTTGCCTTTTTGTTTTGTTGATAGTTTCTTTTGCTGTGCAGAAGCATTTTTTTTTTTTTTTTTTTTTTAGGCGAGGCAACCCTTGGTTGACCTCACAGATTGCAAGGACCTTGTCAGTTTACAATCCCTTATTTTTTTTATTTTTTACGCCTACAGCACCTGGTCTTCCTAGGTGGTCCCCCATCCAAGTACTAACCAGGCCAGACCCTGCTTAGCTTCTGAGATCAGATAGATTGGGCTTGTTCAGGGGAGCATGGCTGTAGACAGCAGAAGCTTTTTAATTAGATGTAGTTGTAGTCCCATTCAGGTATTTTTGGTTTTACTTCTCTTGCATTTGGGGGCTTGGATAACTATACTTTACCCTACTAGATATGAACTGAAACATCACTACTTCAGAAAGGCCTTCTTTAACCCCACTATCTAAATTAGATTGACCCAGTTATTTTTCTTCTCATAATAATCTGCTCTTTGACTTCAAAACATTTACCACAATTTGTAATTATTTATTTGTATGTGTTTGTTTGTTTAATATTTGTCTCCTTCATTATACTGGAAGCAATATAAGAGCAAGAACCACTGTATCTTTGATGTCAAGTACTCAATAAATAATGAATGAAACAACCCTGTTACAATTATTTTATTAAAAACCTTTACATTGTCCAAATAATATAAGAATGTTTCATTATAAAAATTCAAATACATAGAATTATACAAAGAAAAGTTAGACCCCTCTCAACACTCTATCCTCCACCCAAATGCAAATCCCATTATCCTTTCCAGAAACTACTGTTATCGGTTTGGTATATATGCTTCTAAACCTTTTTTGGTATAATTACACGCATGTATGTGCATATACAAATAAACATACATAGACCCACATGTATTTAAGAACTGAAATTGAGCTATGCTTATGTACTGATCTGTGATCTGCTTTTTCACTTACCAGAATGTTTTGGAGATTGTTCCACAACAGTGCATATAGATCTACCTAATTCCTGTAAACTGCGGTAGTGTTCTATTTTATAGATGTGCCATTGCTAATTTAAAAGAATCTCCATAGCTTTTATTATCTTACTCTAGCTAAATTTTGTATTTAGCATTCCTGTTTTGTTACCTTAAGGGAAAAAAAAAATCAGTGTTTGGTCTTTAGTGTTGACTTAAGGACAATTTGCTTGAAAACACTTCCTTTACAGTATGCTTTTTTAAAAAACTTCCTTTCTACTACATTCGCACAGATAATGTCAATGTAACTTGCTTCAATGAACAGAAATAAAATGGGAAGATACAGAGAAGGTTTTACAAAATATCAGATAAAATAGTTCAAATTAGGTTTGCTTCTACCATGTCATAAACTAGCCAGGTTCATAAAGATCTAGTATCTACCTTCCTTTCTGCGATATTGACTTCAGATATGTATCAAGGATCAACATGTGATAAATACTTTTTTCTTATATTCATGTCAACTAGTTCCTGCAGTCTAAAAGCAAGGTGTGGAGAGCTCAGGCATCATTCTGGCCCAGGGACTGGAGAAATTAAGAGTTCCTACAGGTTCTCTTTTGTCTTAATGCTGTTTGTTCTACAGAGCCAGTTAAACTGAAATTCTGTTGGCTCAAAAGTTTAACTACTATCTCTCTGCCAACTTTGTGGTTCTAACCTCTAGATCTACAAAGTCATTATCATTTATTATGGTGGGACTTTAAAAAGTGGATCCAGTTGATAAAATTGTTACTCTGCTAAATCATTATCACTTGAATGAAACGATGACTAGACATTTTCAGAAAAACAGAACAATTCAATGGGCTAAATTTACATGGATATATACTTCCAACAGATGACCATCTTATTTTACCTATTTTAAATGGCGTGGCTTTTCAGACCAGTGAGAAACCGGTAATAACAAAGTGAATAACTATAGAAGAATTTGGGAATCTCCACTTCTTGAGACTGAATTGTTATTTAAGGAGAATAACATCTTAGTCATCCTTATGGTGCTAATCATAACTGTACTGTATTTCAGGTAATAGCCTCAAGTTAATATTAATAAAAAAAAAACACATTCAAGGTAGTGGTAAGAGTTCAGACTCTGAAGCCAGAGGCTATATTTAAATCCTGGTTCTACCAATTTCTACCTATGTGATCTTGGGCAAGGTGCTTAATTTTTCTAAGCTTTAGTTGCTTTATCTGTAAAATGGGGATTGAAAACAATGTCTTTCTGAAGAATTATGATAATATATATAAAGTGAGCAGTACTATACCTGGCATATAATAAGTAAATGGAAGCTATTACTATTATTATTTTTAAATTGTTGTTAGAAAGCAGGATGTAGGCAGAGAAAGGGAGTTTTGATAGAAAGATCAGAAAGAATTCTGGATAAATGTGCCATTAAAGCCGCCATAAACAACTACTACAGAAATGAATGCAGATTGAAATGATTAAAGACAAATCAAAGGTAGAACCAACTGAAATGAACCTGAAAAGTCATTTGTATGGGAAATTTTTCTGCATGGACAAAAGTGCTATATAACCAAAGTCAAAAGGCAAAGATAAACTGGGAGAAATATTTGTGACATATTACAAAAAGGGCTGCTTTTTTCCCATATGTAAAGAGCAATTACAAGTCAAAAATAAAAAGACTAACAAAAGACTAACAGATCAGTGGAAAAATGGACAAAAGACACAATAATAGCTTGTAGAAAATAAAATGAATCAAATATAAAACTTTACTCATAGTAAGAAATGCTAATTATACTACAAGATATCATTTTTACCTTTCAGTCTGGCAAATAACTTTTGGATTACGCTCTTGAAGGTGTAATAAAATAGGCACTTTAAATTACTGTAAGTGGAAATGTAGGTTGTATAACCTCTATTGAAGCAATTTAGCAATGTCTATCAAAATTTATAATGAACTTATCTGTGACCCACGACTGCAAATCCTAAGATTTATTCTATAGATATCTTCACACATGTGCAAATGACGTGTATAGGAATATTTATTGCAGCATTATTTGCAATCACAAAGGATTGGAAATAACCCAAATATCCACTCACTAGTGAACTAGTAAAATGCTTTATGGAATGAAACAGTTCTATAGTACACACATTCATATACAAAGCCGAGATTGTGTATGTATAATTATTCCTGCAAGGACACACAAGACACTGGTAGTGGTTATCTCTAAGGAAGGTACTTAGCTGGCTGGGAGGGAGACTGGGGTGTGAGAAAGCCTTACTTTTCACTAAATATCCCTATGAATTTATACTTCCTGAATAACTATCAATCATTATATGAATGATAATTATAAGAACAATGTAGTTCAGGTCTTTGTCTCTGACAAGTGAATATTTAACCTGACTGGACCTGGGATACCTTAATTGGGTTCCTCCTGTAGCCTGTGTGGCCTAGCATTTTACCTAGGAAAACAATATGAAGAAATGATTTAGAGTAGTGGTCTCTAACCTTTTTGGCACCAGAGACCAGTGTTCCTCCGAGTATCGAATGCCTGATGATCTGAGGTAGTGGTAAGGTGGTGAGCAGCTGCAAATACAGATAAAGCTTTACTTGCTTGCTGACCACTTACCTACTGCTGTGTGGTCCGGTTCCTAAGAGGCCACAGACCGGTACTGGTCCACAGCCCAGGGGTTGGGGACCCCTGAGTTAGAAGAAAGCAGAAACACTGCCTTTTATGGAGATTCCTAGGTTAGGAATAAATAAAATCAAATCTCCAAGAGTGGTGATGTGGGCTTATAATCTTTATCTGTAATTTTGAAATCTTAAAGAGTACTGAAAATTAAAAGTTTTTGCATAAACTTTTTGGTAGCAACGTATGACCTAACCCAAACTTATTTGGTCACAAAAATCTTTCCTGGGCAGAAAACAGTAACAGTTATTTATTATTTATTCCATTTGATGTGAATAATCATATATTATGCTATGCCACATATGACCTATGTACTATGTGACCTTAAAAAAATTGTGAATTGTGTAATACAATTGGATCCAAGAGTTTTGGATGAGGGACTGTGGACCTGTATCATTTTCTCTCTTGATTAGTTCTGAGTTAAGTCTTCACACAAAGGTATTATCATTAACAGAAACAGACTTCTGAAAGTTACCCAATCTTCTTCAACAATACCCACCATTCAAGATTCATAAGCTATCTACTCTTGGCTTTTATTGTTGTTATTTGGGAGTTTGGGTAAAAGACTATCACTATGCAAGCAATGTACATGATTTCAGAGATT